CATTAGTTGGAAAATAAATATTTAAAAAAAATATAAATATTACATCTATAAAATAACCACTAAAGTTATAGAAAGTTGAAGTACCAGACTAAAGCTGACCGACGGATTGTTTTTATTTATCTTTATCTTTTCACTAGCATGAAATTACAAAAAATCAAATTAAATGTTTATTATTGTTAGATATTTTAATGATAGAATATGATAGGAGGAAGAGCTATTGTAAAGGTTAACTATTGTGCGCGGTGTTAGGTGAAGGACATACCTCCAGTGATTAGAATCGTTGATGGGAAGATTACAGTTACTCTTGAAGAAGATCCTGCGGCAGTAGCCACTATTTGTTGACGCTATAATGGAAGCACTGTGTAGTGATTCTCATCTCTAACTTTAATCACCATTTTATTGTGACTGTGTGCCGGAGGTAAAGGACAGCATGTACATTTTTTACTAAATAATTAAGTAACAAATAAACAAATTATAACAGTTTTTATTAAAAATGTTTTCACCAATAAAAATTTATTTAATATTATAAGCAATATTTTATTTCTTATATAATCGATAGTTATATGAACAAAGCATATGCAAAAAAAAAGTAATATATATATATATATATATATATATATATATATATATATAATATATATATATATATATATATATATATATATAAATATATTTTGAAAAATTTTCAAGGCCTATTAACATGAACTCATAACATATATCTCATAATTTTCGATGTAGAATCACCAGTAAAAATTTGGTTGAAATTAGGAACCCACTGACACACTGGTGCCACATGAGTTAGTCCTGGGACCGCTATAGTCGACGAGCTATAGTTATCTAATAGTTATTAAGGTATTTATTCCTCCGGAAAATATCTGCAATAATGACAACTTTGAAAATTTAACGAAAAAAAAAATTAAAGTTTGGAGTTCTGGCAATGGCCAGATTCTTCACTCAAGACATGTGTGTATGTGGCTAAAGTGCTCTCGACCAATCTCCGCTGGCTTTAGTACCAGTGACGCGGTTGGGAGAGTGGCGCAGGGTTCTCCTGGAGTTCCCTCGCCTGATTGTATATAGGTATGCATGTGTTTTTTTTTTTTTTTCTTAGTTTTAATTTTCTTATTTTTTAGGTTATTTTATTTTATTGTCTATTGTATATACTTTTGATTATTATTTTGTTCTATTTATTTTATTTTTTTGTACATATGGTGTGAATGTCATCCTACCTCACTATAACCAATGTCCAACAGACAGATTGTTATAATACTCAATAAAGAAATTTAAAAAAAAAAAAAAAAAAAAATATTGATGTTATGATTTTAAAAAATATGTTGTAAATGAAAGGAAAACATTTCCATTTACTAAGTATATTTTTTATTCGTATATTATAAAACATAATTTATTGGTTCCAAGCAATAAATTCAACTGACAGTCACGATATCCAATTTGACATTTAGAAAAATATTCTTCATAACTTGCTCTTACAAGGAATTTTTTAAATACATTATTATTCTCTCTATCCATCAGTTTATATATACACGCTACCAAAAAAAAATAATAAATAAAAAAAATTAATACATAACCTTTAATAGAAAACTCATAACAACCGGTCCGTATGATTCATACAGCAGCCCAACATGGTTATGTAAAGTATTCCAGTACTATAGAAGAATATTTTCGATTTTCTCGTATCGCTTAGAGAAAGCGTCTCCATATAAAAACCACATCTGGCTAAAGATATATTATTCAACATATCTTTTTGAATAAAGAATATTTTTATGCTCTAAGTTTCGCAATGGTTTACGAAAGTAAATCTGCGAGACGGATTCGGTCTGAATGCGCCTTACTGCATTTTCATCACAAGTGTAAACCAAATTATTGCAATAAATCAACAATTTCTAAATCGTTTGATAGATTTTTTTATCTAACATTTTTATTTATAATGGTAGATATATGATTCTGTAATAATAATATAAATACACTAATAATATTTATGTGATATTATGTAAAACATGAGATCTCATTCATTTAGAACAAGCTAAAGAAGCACTTTTTACTTCTGCAGGAAAAATATGAACCAAATTAGCATATGAACCAAATGTCATCATGAAACAGTTCAACTGCACTGGTAACATTAGTATAGCTGAGATTAAATTATCTGCTTCATCCTTTTGTAGGCTGTTAACAGATATTTCTTATTTGTTCAAATCTCTATGACACCTGAAAAGTATTTATTTATAGCTATTTGAGAGATGACTCATATTTTTACATTCACTTACGTATTTATGTAATATATAATAAGGGTAAGTATTGCGATCATGAAAATTTTCGAATCTCAGTTTTCAACGGAAATACATGTTTTGATGTCCACTGGGTCCAAATAACCAAGTGTCGCTGTGTGTGTTATCTGTGTGTGTGTGTGTTAATAGTCTAGCTCATAAACGATAAGTAGTACGAAACTGATATTAAGTATTTTAAGTTTGTATATGAGCCGTATGTGACAGCAACTTTTTCGTTAAAATCTGCTAACTGGAAGTGCCACTTTATATGAATGTTCAAACACATTTTTACAATTTTCTCAAAAAACGGCTCTAACGATTTAGATTAAACTCGGTGTATCATTGTATAATTAAGTGGTCTTTAATATGATTTAAGTCTTATCACCGTTGATGTCACTTTACAGGGCTTAAACGCCCAATGTTCATACGCGTCTTCGTCTATAGTACCTTTAATATAGTTTATTTTTAAAAGTTAATCATATCGCATTATTCAAAGTTATAAAAAAATGCCAGGTTAAGAATAGGACACACAAATTTAACCCATGTACATCTCATCACTATGCAGCCACTACCATGTTGTCACCACTGTAGTAGCTCTCTCACTAGCAATCCAAAATAGATTATCTCTAAAACCGCATATATCAGTAGTATTAAACAATGATGAATCAAACATAAAAACAGTACTAAATTTTTTTTTAAATCCGTAGACTATTCAATAAAATATATAAATAAATATAATTTGTTTTGTTTTTTAACATTTTAATATATTTTTGGTTTTATATATTTTTATTTGATTTTTTCATTTATTATTCTATCTATCTGTTGTTAATTCTTGCTTATCCATTATTTTTTTCTCTCTTTTAAAGAGTTTATGAACTCAACAGATAACAACAATAACTGACTCACATGCTTTGATGACATTGAAGTTTTATGCCTTACAGCCTAAGCAAACAAACAAACAAGTATTTGATTATTTCTGAGACTATCCAATCTACTCCTAATACTCTTCCTATTTTCATGGAGTCAATAACATTCATATGTTCTTCGTAAATAAAATATTTTTCCACCTCCCCGATTACGTACGTATGTTCAGATTCATCGTCCTTAGTATTTTCATTGACAAGTTTCTATGTATGTTCTCTTACTTATTGCATGTTTTCAAGCGTTCTGAAAAGTAACTTCTGATTGTCTTGGAAGTTGTGTTCACGCTTTTTACCAAGTCCTCCGCACTTTCCTCCTGGCTTCCAAGACCTTGTTTCCCCTATTCGCCTTTGAATTACATATCTTTCGTAATCATTGGGGGAGTTTTGTTTTTAGGTATTGTATTCTGTGTGTCTTCTGCAAATTGACTTCTTTTTTGACTTCACCATTCCACCATTCAGCTCATTTCAATTTCTGTCATGTACTTATTTTACCACTTGCTAGTTCTGCTGAACATTGTTGAATTTTCTTAAAAGCAAAACATCCTGTCAATGGTCTTCTACGAACACAAAATAGCTTTAAATCTTGTAACTGTGAAATAAAAAATGTATTGGAATAAATAAGTCCTCTATTATATTTTAGGCGCATATTATTTATTTGTTAATTATCAATCAAAGCCACGTTTACCACGGTGACGAAAAGCGTTTAGAAGTGTAGTTATTGTTGCCTCACCCATGTTTCCCTAGGTTTTTGGCCAACCTTCAACTTAAAAGCGTATATTCCTTATATTAAGAAGTACCCATTCCACAAAGGCCTTTGGCGTATGCCCATCTGTTTTAAAGTATTTTATTGCTCTCCTCTTCTTAAAAACAGTTCAAATAAAAGTAAAATTATAAAATATATAGTTTGGTTGTTTCCTTTGTTTCTTGGTTTGAACGTTTTCTTTAATTAAACCTAAAAAAAAAAAAAAAAGATTCCTACCTGAAAATCATAACCTGTTAAATCAGTGCCCTCTTGAAAGTTCAAAGTTCATAATCTTATAAAAATTTTTCCCCTCAGAAATTTCCTCTAAACATCCAACCCATTTCTGGGCACCCCTGCCACCTAACCGCTCATGTTGCTCGACATGTTTGCGTCAGATGTTTGGTTGCTTGTGTCAGACCAAGCTTTGATGCTTGGTTTTATTTTATTTTTTTTAAATAAACATAGCTTAAATCAAATTTGTAACACAAGCATATTAAAAGCTCCCTGTGATTGATTTTTTTTTTTAATCTGTTTATTGAGAAATAATACATTTTGCCACACTTAAGGGCACTGATATACAATACCATAAAAAAAAAAAAAAAAAAAAAATAATAAAAAAAATAATATAAAAAAAAAATATATACATCTATATAACAAAGGCAAAAACTTGTGATTGAATTAGCAGTGGTGTGTGGTGTGGGATGGTATTAGTGGTAAGTCTTCTGCTCTTGCTCTATAAAATTTAAAACTAAATTTGAGGGAATAAGTGAAGTGTAATATTTGCTTATTATTAAGGGATTGAGGTTTCGTGAAAATTCTTTCATGGTATGAAAATATTTTGACAAATCTCCTTCTAGTTCCTGTGAAATTCCGAAATTCTGGGATGATGAACGAGGTTTAAAAAGTTATCTTTATTTTTTTTTTAATTTGTAGAATATATTCACTATTTTTATTATTAATATTTTGTTTTTTATCCCACCCAACCATCATCTAGATTTAATGTTCAACAAATCATATGTGAAATCTCGAATAATATTTTATATCTTTTCATGATTTTTACCTTGCTGATATCCTGCTATTAGACTTATACTTCCTATACCGCGCTGTCGCTATCTGATAATCTTGATAATATATTGTGAAAAGGCTTTGCGTAATGGTGGCGTGGAATTGGCCCTGAACCGTGGTACGAACCCGATCGTTGATTGGGCTGCTTGCGTGCTCTAGTTCAGTCTGTAGCGGAACCCAGTCGATGCTGCTCGCTGTTACAGATGACAGGGTACGGCATGGCATTATCATATTTATCATAAACCGATAAACTTCTTATAGTATACTTTTTGAATGGAGATTGCTTATAATGAAATCAGTACTCGTAGTTTGGCTGCTTCCAATTCGTGGGAAAAGATTTTAATTATGAATGACGGGAGAGTATTGACACTATTCGTAGTGTTGATTGAATGTGGGTACCAGCACAACATCATCTAGCTCACTCCGAAATAACACATATATATATATTCCATCCAAATTGGTTCCAGAAAAGCATTTTTATCATAATTTCTTTATCTGAAATTTCAGTTCTAATTGTTTCTTAGTAAAGAATTTCAGGTAAAAAATTATTCAGATAATTATGATGGTATGCAAAATTGGTATGTGTGTTACTAAATTTTAAAAAGGTTTATTTTTTTTATAATAAACTGATAGCTAAATCGATTATAGCTTTACGATCCGTATTTGAATCCGGCTATTATAGAATCAACCATCCTTCTTTAAAAATCAACCACGGATTGACTCCAGAGTTGGAAATCTCTTCAGAAGCATAATCGGTTCCAACTAAGTTGGCACCCCTTGATCGAGGCTGATTGTAACACTAGAAGCTGCGTATTAATAGTAAACTGTTTGTGTTATGAACAAGTTTTTTAACTATGAACTGTACTTAGGACCCTTCGTGGGTTGCAGGAGTATTGCTAATCTATTTTTCTCTATTGATTAATAATGAAAATGCCAGATGCATCCCAAATAAAACAGGGCGGATAACTTTGATTACTGTATTTTATTCTCCATGCCATTATTTTATTATGATGGTATGGAAATGACCGCAGTTCTTTTATTGCAGGGGCAATGGTTTAAACAGTTATATGACTGAATTATTAAGTAAATCGAAATTCTTATATTATTTAACCAATTCTCTCATGGTTCTGTTAAGAAATTAAATGATACTATAAACAGTTAAAGTGCTGGAATGTAAACGAGGTACAAAAATTATAGTCGTTGGTTACGGAGAATCTCGTCGAGTTATATTAAAAGGAATGGCAATCATAGGCTGATGAAGCAACTCACAATCAATCATTGACCAATAAATCATTCAGCAAGTAAATGATTACACTAATAAATCGATCAGGTTTAATTGCCCTTAATCAACAAATAATTGTAAATGGTAATGGAAGTAGGTTGTTATTATTTTGTGATACAATTCGTATTGTGTAAAATTCTGTTTCGATCTATTCTGTTTATCGCTTTATATGCAATCATATTTACAATAAAATAGTTTTACTATAAATGCAATAAATCTCTTTATTGGATATTTTCAGTAATTGAGGCGTTTGGTTTCAAAACCGGTTACATCCATTTGAACATTTTTTTAGGGCTGATCAAAAAATAATTTTTTTATTAAAAAGAAATTAAATTTAACAATTTTTGTTTCATTATTTTGGTAACAGGTCACTTTAAGTTATTGACAACTTTTTATGATTTATTCTTTTTATTAAATAGAAAATATTGATTTCTGGTTAGTTTTTGATTGAAAAAAAAAATACATTTTCCAAACATACAAATTCTCATTGGAAATTTGGAACGTTTCCAAGATCCTTCAAGTCTCTGCACTTTCCTAGGTTGAAGTAATTGAATTTCAGGATTTTTTCCATTATGAAAGGTTTAAAAAGGGTAGGGCAAATATATAAAAAAAGGATTTCGCGCAAACCATCTAAACTTTGACTATTTTGATAAAGAATAAGAATGTTCACTATCAACAACAACAGATGATTGATAGGGAACTGGATCATTTGGTATTGATATCTGGAGGATCTCGACGGTTATGATAATAAATCATTTCTGGCATTAAAAACTTGAAAACAGATGTAACCAGTTTCGAAACAAAACGCCCCAAGTTATATATAATCGTTATATTCCAAGACAACGTGTGAAGCTTCTTCATTATTTGTAGAGGGTGATTGTTTCGTAAATGGAGTTAACACGAGGATTCAAAATATACTTATTTATTGGTGGGAGAAAAAAATACATTAATTAATCACTAATAGATTATTATTAGACCTGTTATTAAACACCTGTCTCTGTCTCTGAATAAGCACCTAATAACTAAACAGTCAACATGCCGTCAATTCTGTTCTCATTAGAATTGGAAATCAAACAAATAAATACCAAAGATAACACTTCACACTCCAATAGCCTAAAAAAGACAGCAGAGACGCCCATCTCTTCCCTTCTCCCCAGGGCCGATGGCACGTGTCCATTCATGAAATTTTATTGCCTTTCTCTCTTGAAAATAATACAAGCGACTGTAGAATTTTTAATTTGTAGTTTGTATACAATTACATTTGCTGTTTCGAGTTTCTTCCTTTGTTTCCTGATTACTACAAATTGAAGCCCCCATAAAAATACGGTTTCATTCTGAAATCCCTAACCCGTCAAAATATCCATCCTCAAAAACTTTGTAAAAATATACTATGCCATTCAATGGGGCTAAAAATTACAGATGAAATTTTCACAGATGTTTCTCAAAGGTATCAAGATTCGGAAAACACTTAATTCGTGCTGGTGGCTGAAGATGCTTATTTTATTTATATTACCTATCCATAAGTATTATATAAAATCTATTTTTATTTTGTTAGAGATAAACCTCAGTTAGAGATTTATCACATATCACGAAGATAAACCGTTTAAGATTCCTTTTTTATATTGTTTGATTTTTTTCTAATCCGTCTGTATACAACCATGTGTGCCTTTCTGGTTTCGCAAGGGATGGCAAAAAAGGCCAAAAGATTTATAAACAAGTTGAATAATTAAACACAACACAATACAAAGTGGATATAAATAATTTAAAATAACCTGCAATTGATTTGACTGTCATTTTAGAGAAAAGTGTATTACGTAGTAATAGTAAGAATAATATTATTATGTATGGAATATGGCTGGGGATTGCAATCATTGCAAGTACAAAGTAAAAATAAATTATAAATTTCAATTATATTAAAAATAATTAATATAATATAATATTAATATGTTAAAAATTATTAAGATAATAATTATATATAATATATAAAAATTATATAAATAATTATTGAAAATATTAATTTTGAACTTCCAATGAATGCAATATCCAACCATCTTCTCTTCAACAATATTTTACAACAGTCCAAAATTGAATCAACCATTAATAATAATATACAAATAAAACGATAGTGAAATTAAAAAATAACAACCTATGTAACCGCATACTCGTCTCCTCATTTTAGCTCTGATCAAGACATGCAATGATTTCGAAATTTTGGAGTTCAATTAATATTTAACAATATTTTATAAATTTTTTGCCCGATCTCCTGATCATCTCATTTTAATTAAAAGATTGTTGGAGTATTATTCGTTGTGTGCAACGCACGGTTTTAGTATCTTAAATTCCAGTTATAATATAACTAGTCAATCTTTCGTCAATTCAGGCATTACCAGGACAGAAAAAGGCAAGACACATCGCAGAGATAGTACATCTCATGTTACAGAAAGACTACAAAAATAAAGATAATACATGGCTCAGAGACAGTTTAACAGTAATGAAGGAAAATAATTGTAACATTATTACAGCTAAGGAAACTTAATTTAAAAATCTAACCTTTCATATGCTGATTTTGTCTCCCTTTTCCAATGCATTCTTAAGTTATCGCTGAGAGATGATGTGCGTAATATGAGCATCTGGTTGAATTGTAAAAACGTCGCATGTTTTATTTTATTTGCTGGATGTATTTATTTAATACAGTTGTAAATGTCATTAAGAAATAAAAAAAATTCTTTTATAATCGTACATATCTTTTTTTTATACTCATTTAAAATGTTTTTTTCCCGTTTTTTCTTTTATCAACGGTAAAATTGGTTGGAATAAATTCGATTATATACTACTTTTCCTTATGAGCAACTTAATGTCTAGTATCGGGCATATGTTTAGTGATTCCTTGATATACATATCTTCACTATAAGTGTCCTATTGCGATTTAATTTGTTATGTATTTTTAAAAAGGAAAACAATTTATTGAAGTGAAAACTTCTTTAGGCCTGTTTTGCATTTTTTTTTTTTGTTGAGAGTGAGTTAGATTGATCCGTCAGAGTTCCGAAGTTTTAACGCTCGGGTAAAGTCGGCTGGAGTCGACTAATTGAAATGTTTTTACATATTGATTAAAATATCTCGGAAACTAAAAATGGGGGTTATCAAGGAAATTGTTCAGCATTTCATCCTCTGTGTAATATACTAAAATTCAAAATTTTATCTTTCCTCGACACCGTGTTAAGAGAGGCAATCAAAGATTGTCGAAAACCAAATGATAATAAGTTTTATTGAAGATATCGATTAAAATATCTCAGAAACTAAAAATAGGACTTGCATAATGAAAACTAGGGAAATGTTCAGCCTTTCATCCTGTTTGTAGTTGGTTATTATTTATAATTTATATTTCATATTATTGATATTGCCTTGTTGATGGTTTCACTTCTATCATGTGGTCTAAGGCTCACACTTTAGTTTTTTTTTCTAAATTATATCATTTTTTGTGTTACCATTACATGACTTTACTTATAGAATAGAATAGAATAGAGTAGAAGAATCAACTTTATTTAAGTGACAAAGTCCCTTGAGAATAACAATATTGAACATAGAAATTAACATAACATCTGGCCAAAATGCATATTACAATAAACAAAAACTAAAAAATAAGTAATAACCAAAGTATTTACATAACTGTAATAATATGAGCAATAAGGTCCTAATACTGCAAAATAGTTGCCACAAACAATAAACTATGGATCTCTAAATGAAATTTGAAATTAACGAAAAATTACTTTTGTTGTCATAGCATTGTATTATTGAGAAAAATAATAATAAAAGAGTGGACAAATATTTACTTTAAATGATTTACATATCTACATTAATATGTTCAAAGAATACAATAATAGTATTGTAAACATTATACAAGTCCTATATAATTTAAATCCTAAGATGTAGATTGATAGGAGAAAATAAT